CTGGTAGAGTAGTTAACAGTGCTATATGAGGGCTTAGGAGTAATTTTGCTTAGGACTTATTGAACACAATCAAGTATGGTGCTGAATTACTTAAACTTGAATGATAAAATTTTTTTAAAAAAATTTGGATAATATCAAGCTAAATCCAAGCCACGAAGAATGTTTAAATAAAGATTGTTAAAACCTGAAATGGATTACTCACATAAAGTTAGAGAATTTCCTTCCCTGATAAAATGATGTGGACTGAAAAATTGAAAGATAGTTTGCAATAGGGCTAGAGAAATGATTTTAGGACATAAAGAAAAATGTCATTAGAATTATTTTTCAAGAAAAAGCACCTCTCCAACCTACTGGAGGAAGCACAGTCGACACCACCCCAGTGTTGCTCGCTGACATCCATTTCGGCGTGTGCACTGAGGGTTCCAGCCAGTGACCGAGTGCGGCCAGGATACTAACGTGGGCTCGTGAGCTCGCTACAGGGAGGCATTCACGTCTTTGACGTGATTCCTGACTTTGGCTCAGACTCCCTGCTGGCCTTGCCAAATTTTCTTAAAACTGCACTGCGTCTAAGACCTTTCCGCCTCCCTCCTTGTCGTCCTCCCCCTTTCCTTTCCTTCCTTCCCACTCACTCCCCTTCACAGAGGTCAGAGCTGAATTGTGTTCTTCTGACTCTCCCGGCCTCCGTACAGCTCCTTTCCCGATTTCCCACGGAGATGTTTCTCCCTGTAAACCTCTCACACGTCGAATCCAGTCTTGCTCTCTACTTCTCAGAGAACCTGGGCTGTTGCACAAGAATTCTGTTTGCCTTGATTCAAAAAAAATTTTTTTAAACAAGGAAGAAGGTGAAATTAGTGTAGCAATCTCCTAAATTATGTGTAAATTAAATGTAAGAAATACATGTACAACTGATTAGATTTAGTTTGTTATTCCTACTTAAAAACCATTGAAACAATTTGCTTAAAGTCCTACTTTAAAAAGTAAATTTCAATAATTTATTATATTGATTTTATGGACAAAGACAAAATGTCTTCTTCCACTTAACAAAATACACAATCTCATAGCTTAGTCTCCATATAACTCTCTGAGAAGAACCACAGTCCAATGTTCTATTCTTTATCTCACATAAAAAAGGCAATTTTTCAGCAAAGGGGCAATATGGAGGCATAATATGAGAAAAGGACATTACCTGTAATAGGTTTTAATTTTCCAAAAATACAATATTTCCCATCCTATGTGCTTTCTGCAGTTTGGCCTGTAACCTGCCCATCAAGAAGTGAGGTCGTGCCCTCAACTTGAGTGTCCTTGGACCAGTGGAGAATAGTGGAGGTGACCCTTCTTTGATTCTGTGAGCTGGTATTTCCTGCTCACTTTGGAAGGTCCCTTACTATTATATCTTTACATATTCCTTCTGCCCCCTTTTCTTTCCGGTCTCCTTTCGGAACTCCAAGCACACACATTCCTTGACTGTGTCCCACAGATATCAGATGCTCTTATCCACGTGTCACTATTTTATCCTTTGTGTTTTAGTCTGAGTAATTTCTATTGACCTATTGTAAAGTTTAATTTGCTTTCTGTTGTGTCCAGGCTGTTGAAATCACATGTTATTCTGATTGTATTTCTCATTTCATTTTCATTGTTTCCAATAATTTTGATCTTTCTGCTGAATTTCTCCTGTGTTCCTGTATGTTTTACATTAAGTCCTTTAACACATTTATCATGTTGAATTTTCAGAACCTGTCTGATAATTCTAACATCTGGGTCATCTCTGGGTCTGCTTCTATTGTCCATTTTTTCTTTTGACTGTATTTCTTTCTTGATCATCCAATTCTCTTATAATTTTTGGTGTGTATCAGATAATGTGTAAAAAATTGAGACTGAAGTAAAGAATATGTACTCCCAGAAAAGAATAAATACTTCCTTTCTTCTGTCAGGCTGTTACTGTGGGTGCCCGAGTCAGTCCAAGCTGTAGGTGAGCTGGATCCGGGTTTGTTAAAGGCTTAGTTAGATTCATTTCAGCATATTTGGTTTCAAATATTTTTAAGGGAACTATCAAGACTTTCCTGTTGCAGGAAGGAGGTCTGCATAGAAATCTCTGTGCTTTATAACCCAGCCGTCAGCTTTCTGAGCCGTGGGAAATATCTGTGCTTTACAAACCAATTGTTACCTTTCTGTTCATTGGAAAATATTCTTTGATCTCCATTGATGTGCTTGGCTCTAGTCCTGTCCTGTGAGATCTCTTCATATCCTGCTGTATGCCCCCAGCCTGGAAGGACTCTTGCAGTATGCCACAGAGGAATTTTTCTCTTCGGCAACTCCCTTAGCCTTTGGCAACCACTACCTTAGGTAAAGACCAGATTAAAGTCCCAGACTGCTTTGTAGGGCGTTTTCTCATCTTTCCTGCCCTGAACCCAGCTTTTGGCTACTGCCATGTACCTGGAGAAGGCCTGTATGCCTTGATACAGCTGTGGAGGGAACGCTCTTGCCTGACCACAGCCTTCGGGTTTATAACCCTTATACTGACTGAAAGCCCATGGGTTAGAGTTGGCGAGTAGTTGTAGATTCACTTTGTGGTTCTTTGTGTAACAAAATGCTTTGTCTCTCTGATTCCATCTTGTCCAGTCCTGCTTCTTCTTAGTCTTCCGTACAAACCTGCTTATCATTAGAGGAATTCTGTTTGCAGCTTGTGGAGATAGGGAAGTATGTAGCATTTATCAAAGATTTGCAAAGACGTCCTGACACGACTCACACCACCTACCACAATACTCCTAGGACACCTGCTTGGCCGCCAGATATCTGCGATGGTCAGTCACCTCTTGCCTCTCCCATCTCCCATTCCTTTGACATAAAAAGCCTAAACTCTGTACTTTCTTAACAGGGATTTGAAGTACCACTAGGGCCTCCACCTTCTCAGTTGGGGCCTTCTTGATCAATAAAACTTTCCTTACTTCATACTCTGACATTTTGAGTTTTAGCCTTTTGAAATGTCAGACTGGTAACACTTGGATTATAAACTGTCACACTAGTCTATCTTTGGGCATTAAAAGATGGTTAAAATGGTCAACTAGTTTCTTTTTATCTCTTTCTGTGGCAGTCTTCCTCCTACAGCCAATCCCCAAGAGATGAAAGCAACTCTGGGTTTTCTCTTCCTAAGAATGTCTCCTTACTTCCCAGATTTTAGTTACTTTAGACGTCTTTGGGGCATCAGTGCTCTGATAGGTTTTTTAAAAACCTATGATTTTGTAATTTATCTAGCTCCTCGTTAGCAGAAACTAAATTTTGTAAAATTCTACATCCCAATCCTAAGGAGAAATCCACTATGTTCAATTGTTTGTCCCCCCCCCCCCCCGCCCATTTGTTGTAGTTTCTGTTTCTTCTATTAAAGACCCAACTCCTGTCAACTAAAGGTCCTGGCTTCTGTAACTGCTCCCTTAAGTTGCCCCTCGGACTTAAGGGCAATGACAAGTACCTGCTTTTGCTAGGTATGAGCAGCTTCACCATCTGTTGTTGGCTTCCTTTAACCTTGTTCACACTTTTGAAAAGAATCCCTTTATTAGACTCTCAGTTATGCTATTTGATGACTATCTCCTTTCTGTTGGATCCCTGATAGGTGGCATATCTCTGAGAAAATGAGATTAAACCCACAGGGAGATGGTTGAGAGTATTATGAAGGAGACAGAAAGGGAGTTGCCATAGTCGGTCAAATCTGTTGAAGTGGTAGAAATGTTGGTGACCGCCAGAAATGGGAAGAGGAAGAATAGATCTCCCTGTTAATCTTTCTTTAGTAAGCCTTAAAAATGGAAATCAAAGCGCCAAAGCATTGTTTGGAATAGAGGGTCATTTCCCAGATGGATTTTTGGAATACTTCTTGGTATTTACAAAAGGTTAATGTGGAATATGAAAGCTAAAGAATCAGTAGGGCCTTCTTGATGTGGGGTTTGGAGAGGTAAGAAGAAGAGGGAGCAGAGAATTCTAAGGAGATGAATTATTCTAATCAGCTGCTATATTTTATTTAACATATATTTAGCACTTACTATCATATAGTTCACTCAACATGAATTCTTAGGTTCCGTGTATCTTAAAATGTCTTTATAAGAACCTTTTATGGTGGAAGGTACTATGAACTAGCCTGGCCTGTATTGGTTTACTTTAGTGCCTGGAACATTGTAGGTATTCAAAACTGCTAGATCTACTAATACTAGATTTCATTATTTGAGCACTTACCTTGTGCCAGGTGCTGTGCAAAAAGCTCGACATTGTTTTAATAACTCAATTTATAGGTCAGGAATCTAAGGATACTAGATGCCTTTCTACACTGGACAATAAAGTGATAATGAACTGACTGAGGTGGAGACTGTCATTTACAGAATTTTCAGTTACTTGTGAAAAAAATAATTGAAATTCAGGACTGGAAGACAAAAAATAACCTCTTGATTTTATTTTGCATGCTCTCATTCATAAGTTTATTAACATTTTGCAAATCCCTGTAGGATAAATCTACCCTGGCAAGAGTCACACCTACCTTTCCTTTTTTCTGAGAGAAGCAGAAATTTCATACTCTCCTTGTTCCATCAATTACCTTCCTTTCATTTTTCTGCACTTCATTCGCTCTTTGAAATCTTTGACATTCATTTATTGATTGATTGATTGATTGATGTCTTCCTTCCTTCATTAATTCAAACAAGGACTGATGCTTTATTTTAAAATCTCATTCAAAAAGGTGCCACGTCATCCGCCGGGGCCGAGAACTGCGAGGTGCAGTCACATTTTCTCCCAGCCAGCGCGGATCTCCATCGAGCCCCGCCCTCTCCTTCTCACCTGCTTCCTGGAAAACCACAACGAGCTCGAGTCACCAGCTCTGGCCTGCGGCTTCCTCCCCCTCGCCCCAGGGCTGCCCCGCCCCTCCCGGATCCCGACTGGCTGAGCGCATTTATTTGCATATTTCTACCTTTGTTCCCTGCTGGCAGCCAATCAGCACGCGGGGCGAGGCGGGGGTGCTGGGCGGGGCTCGGGCTCCAGCTGCGGCGGTCGCAGGTTCCCGAGCGAGTCGGAGTCGCCGCGGACGCGCCGCGCACTGTTATCCCAGCCCGGGGCCCCCCACCGCTGTCCGCGCTGCTGCCTGGGCTCCGCCAGGCCCCGGAGGCAAAGACAAAGAGGCTGTGCGGGAGCGTCCGCTGGAGCCCGATTTACCTGCAGTGCCGGGAATCACAGGCTTCAAGATGGTTTGCGGGGGCTTCGCGTGTTCCAAGAACTGCCTTTGCGCACTCAACCTGCTCTACACCGTGAGTATCCCAAGCCCGTTCTGGGCCTGGGGGCTTGCACCTGCTCGGTCCGGTGCTCCTTGGCTTGCGTGCCTGGCCATCTCGCTCCCCCTTCCCATCTTCCCACGCTTTGCGCGCCCCAGGCCTCGCCATCAGCCCCAGACGACGACCAGGAACGGGCGCTTGTCGCAGTCTCTTCCTTTCCCTTACTGTGAAGCCACTGTCTTTCTGGCTTGCTAGCCTGGTCTCTGCCACATTGCTGTACTCCGCCCCCTCACCCACTGCCTTGTCTTTCAGTTATTTAACCAGATCTTCCCACTTTCCTCTTGCTGCCCCTTCTAGTACTCGCTCCTGGCTTCCAAATCCATCTGGGGCGGGTGAGGAGGCTGAACAGCCGCCTCGGGTCTGAGGACAGTTTTTCATAATAGAGTAATCTGAAACTGACAAGGTGGCATGTGGACCCTGTGCATCTAGGTTAGCGCTACGTGCTCCTGTGATTTTAATTGAGGTCACAGAGGAGGTTCACAGGATATCCGCAGCTTCCGAAGTTTGTTTCGCGCTTACATAAAGGGATGTCTTTTTTTTTTTTTTGGTCCAATTTTGCTCATACTGGATGCGTTTTCCATATGTCTCCTCTTATCAATACCCCAACTCCATTTTAAACGAAATCTTCCAGTATATACGTGAGCCTCCACCCAAGTTATTTCTTTTCCTGCCAATCAGCTTGTGTCTTTTAGTTTTAACACTGCAGTCTCTGAGATTTTTAAGGCGCAATTCTGGGTGAACAGGAGGATGGGAGAGCAGGTTGCCTTTAAAGATTGCCTAACACGTCCCAGGCTTGACATACAAGGTTTTCGTTCGTCATCCTGACATTCATTCCAGGCAAGGAGCATTGTTTAAATCTGTAAGATAACAGACCAAAAAGGGTCTTAGTAAGTTTACATAGCTGATAGCTGGCGAATCAGGAGTAGAACCCAGGCCATGGAATCCAGATCTTCCCTCAGGCTTCTCTACCAAAGGAAAAAAACAAACTACATCTTCTGTCATCGTTCCTCCATCATATAGCCTTGCTTCCTTCTATAAATACACCTGGCGTTTTGCAGTACCCACCCGGAAAACAAACCCGGCTCCCTTGCAATAGCAGTGAGCTGGGCCATCTGTGCAAGCTTAGGTTACATCTTTGGAATGGAGAGGCTGCCTTGTGGTCACCAACGAGAGAGCGGCTGGGTCAGTTTACCATTGCTGGTCCTTTGTGTGTGAACAGGAAAGCTTTGAAGGCAAGAGAGAAGCTGGGATACAGTATGCTTTCCTGGGTACTTAGGAATCTAATCAACATGGTCACCAATGGTAGACTTGGGGAAAACAATTCCGGAACACCTTGTGATACAGTTGCTTGTCATTGGAGATCCATGACAAGTTTCAGATTAAAATCCACCTTTGTCTTACCTGAAGCATGCTTATCACATTGATTAAGTAAATGCTGACCAAGACTCCAGGTGTTTTCTTTTATTAGCATGTATTGTCTGCTTAGAACTTCAAACTGATCATTTTGTGCCCTGACCTTTGCCATCCCTCAATGATTCAGTCACCTGATCACTAGATACGTGACCTTGTAGTGCCTGTTTACCCACAGTAGAAGGTCTGCTTTCCATAGTTACTTGACTGAGGTGTCTGTATGATTTGTGTGTCATGTGTATATTTTTAAAGAGGCAAGTTATTTTTAAATCTAATTTTCTTGCTTTTAAATTATATCCTTTCTAGTCGTATTTACAACTGTACTTGAAAAATAAAAAAAACCCTTAAAAATATAAAAATAAATAAATAAATATAAAAAAAGGAGAAAGGTGACTCTAAAATAACATATTAAGACTTTTATATCTGTTTTAAATTATTGACCTTCAAAGTGTATTCTGTTGATTTAATGACTATGCAGTAAAAATTAATTGGGAATTCACAGGACTATAAAAATGGTTAGCCCTTTTAAATCCTAGACTTTGCAGACAGAAGGATATTTCTTTAAATGAATTAGTGTCTTCTTTTTATACATTGTGAACAAGCTAAAATAATGTCAGCAATTTAAGTTGGAGATGAACAAAAGGTAAAAGTTGGACCAGGTCTTAAATAGATGCTGAAAATGTGCCACGGCTATTATTTCGATTCTGCATTTTTCCTGGTCTCTCCCTCAGTATTTTAAGATGAGAAATGTGAGGTGGTTGGGGCAGAGTGAGGTTGAAGACTTGGGAGACATTTCTTTTTAAGACAAGAATAGGAGGACCCTTGGTAGGTTCTCATCCCACCTGAGTCACTGATTCTAAATTATGCTCAAAATTGCAGGATTGGGATCGAAGTCATTTCTAAAAGTGTTTAGTAAAACCAAAATTGCATACGGAGTGGCAGAGGTAAAGGCCATGGCCTGCCGCGTCATCTGTCATGTTGATGCATTTTCTTGAGGAACTTAGGACTCTGACTCCACCAGCCAAACTGTCCATGTACTCCAGCAGTCTGCTAATAAGCCTGAGATTAGAGCATACATTCTGATCAGTCCAGAAAACATGTCACTAAAACAGGTTGGAAGGAATGTTCTCCAAACTTGTCATGGGCATTTGATCACTAGACAAAGGTGCAATTGATTTTTGTTGTTATGGTTTGGTTGCTTTAATGAGTAGGATCCTTAGTACTGAGCAACTTTAAATGTAGTGAATACAGTTTATAAGTATGAGAAGAAGGGGAGAAGCTAATCTTCATTGTGCACCTTCAAGGTGTCATAAGAAAGACAATGATTTGCTTCAGGACTTCCCACATTTAAAGAAACTGAAAGTTTCTTCTTGAGTCCCTCCTATGTGCTAAACACTGTTCTCAGTCTAGGAATACAACAGTGAACCAAACTGGGCTTTGAAAACAATATGCCTTTATTAAGCCTCTTCTTTATTTTCTGTATTTCCTGCATATGACCTCAAGAGCTTTATTGAGTCAATAAACGTGCTACTGGGTTCAGTTTGCTGAGAAATGTGGGCAAGAATAAACACATGTCAATACATAGGCAAATACCTATCCTGTGAAGACAGGATCTAGTTGAGATTCATGGAGTGGGAAAATTAAATGCTCTATATGAGAGGGACTGCCTCTAGCTTACATAACATTTATGGTAGATCTTGTGGGCTAGAGAAATCGGGGGAGTGAAGGTATGATCGTATCAGGGAAATGTGGAAATAACATGGGTCGTTTTTTTTTTACAGTTTTGGATAAAAATACAAATTAAAACTACTTTGGGAGAATAGCTTATTTTATTTTTAATTGTTATTTCAAAGTAATTTTGATTGAAAATATTTTGAGTAATAGTGAAAAACAGCTTCTTAAAATTGTACTTAGTGATTGGTGGGGAATTTTAGGAAATACAAAATAAATTGATGCATATTTCAATATCTATAAAATTTTGAAGATTTATAACATATCTCCTTGTACTTCTTAAGCAGAGAAAAGGCTTTTAGGAATTGCACTATTGAGGTACTATGTAGTTAAGAGTATGTAGATTATATATGTGGTTTTAATTAAGAACATAAGGAACAGAAAATAAGTTAAAATGTGCTCTTAAAACTAGAAAGGCAATTTCAGAAGTTTCAATTTTGTGTTCTTTTCCATTTTCATGCTGACTTCTAAAAATTTTTTTTCTATGGATTTTTTCTTTTACATTTTTCCATACCTTTGAGTGCTTTGACAAAAATCCCCATGCAGATCAAAAATTATACTGATTTCTATTCATTCTAAGATATATATTCTGATATCTCTGAAATTGAGATTTTCTCAAAATAGCTAAACATGCCATCTTTATCAGATAAAAAATATGTATCTATGGGGAGAAAAAGTACTGGGTACAGGAAGAAAACTCAGGTTTGAATACTAACAGCTCTGCAGCTTGCTTGGAATGTAACCTTGGGCAAACAGTTTACTTGAGCTTGGTTTATTCATTTATTTATTTTTCAAGTATAAACTGGTGATTTTTTTTACTCTTCCTTTATGAAGTGCAAGGGTAAGTTGGGAGAATGTGGATAAATGCTTTGGGTGGTTGACAGAAAAGAAAATTAAGTTGTTACACCTTCAGGTGGAAGAGTTCAATTATTTTAAATTTCCAAATTACAAACTTGCTTTTATAAAGAAAGATTTACACTGTTGGGATTTCTAACACACTAAGGCCAGTGTTAACTCATGCGGGCTCTAGGGAGACAGGAGCTTATACACTCAAAATAGTAATATTAATCTTGCAGCTGTTAAAAAGACTGAGATGTTGTAGGTATAAATTTGGAATGATTTACCTGAACTTTTTTTTTTTTTTGAGTCCTAGTCTGGTTATTAGAGCTCTCTAATTTTGTTCCATCTTAACTGCAAAATAAATGAAAACTCGTAGTACTTAAGCCAAAGAAAAATCTATTGACTGCAATGGCTTTCGCATTTTTGCATTTAGCATTTTTCAAAATTCTAATCATTTTCCAAAGTATTCTTGTTCGGTATTTTAGTGTGTGGTTAGGTTTATGTTACTTCTCTCTCTCTCTGTGTTTGTTCAAACTACTGAATGAATTTAAAATATGTAAGTGGTTACTGAATATTGACTTACATTTTGAATTTTAAAGTGATTCATTATTTTCCCATGATGCTACATGAATCTACCTTTGTGCTGATTATGTTTGTAAAATTTCCCAACTTTTGATTTAAAAACTCAGTAACAAAAATGTGCCATTTATACCATTTCTCATTTGATATGTTATCAACTTTCACAAAGTTTAACTACATAATTAAGAAGCATTTACAAAGAAGCAATTAATTTTGGGAAAAAATTGTATTTCAGCCCATGTTTGGAAAGTAAGATTTGAACATATCAGGAGCTTAATTTTACATACAGTTTCAGGTGGTTTAAAAATGGGCCATTGTCTGCCCTGGCTGGGTAGCTCAGTTGGTTGAAGCATCGTCTCGTAAATCAAAAGGTCTCAGGTTCGATACCTGGTCAGGGAACATGCCTGGGTGGTGGG